GCAACATGAGTACTACAAACTACAAAGTACTGGTTCATTAGACTTCTACTTCAAGAAACTAAGAATACTACATTAAGTTTTGGGCACCGATCATTGCCCCACTGCAGTCACCCTCACCGATCGTGTACTTCCCAAGATTGCTCGAGACGTCTCCACCCCTCTTTGAGCTCCCCTCTTTCCTACAAAGATGAGAAAATGGTCAAGATGAGAAAATGATCATATCAAGGGAAACAAAATGTTCATATCACGGTTTTGCACAACCAAAACAAAGATAATGAAAGTCGCAGGCGCCTTTATAGTGTGTCTTTGGTGAGTCATCCCTAACTCGAGATATGGGTAGGGGCGGGGGTTGACAACAAACCGAAGCCAAAGCCCAAAGGTGTGTGTGGATGTGGGCTGGATGGCATAGTATCACCAATTTGCTACTAAAAAAACAAGACGACCAAAACAAAGAAAATGAGAGAGAGAGGAACTCACAGACATCACTTTGGAAATCATCACTCTTGAGGTGGTTTCTTTCAAAGTCTTCGTGTGGTTCATTTTCAGCTATGTTGGGCACACCTTCCCTCCATGTTGCTACAAAGATGAGAAAAAAAGAGCAAATTAGCAAAATAATCGAGAGCAATTAGCCAATTAGCAAAAAGAGCAAATTAGCTTACAAAGCAGATCAATGAGGGAGTTTCTCCTCTTTTCATAGTCATCAGGCATAAGGTGAAAGCTTTGCGCAAGGAGTGGAACTTGACACAGCATAAGTGTAAATATCTGCAGCTCTTTGCCGTGGGAAAATTTTTCTCCATTCCCTGCAGACAAATACTTAACAAAGATCTCGCTTGTTCAGGGGGAACAAACACATTTGTTTGCCACAGCACCGCCACAACTCAGTAGCATTTGTCGGCGCCTTTGCCACAACTTTGTAGTTGGCACACCGCCACAACCTGTAGTTGGCACACCGCCACAACCTGTAGTTGAACTTGTGAACGGACCAGACCACGGCACATATATCGGCACACCGCCACAACCTGTAGCTGGACTTGTGAACGGACCAGACCACGGCACATATGTCGGCACACCACCACAACCTGTAGCTGGATTTGTGAACGGACCAGACCGAGCATGGGAAGCTCCCGACAGAGTTCTGGAGGATGTACCCTGGCATGCAAATTTCAGTTCAAGTTGACAAACAAAATGAACAGTTGTGGGGCAAAGAACGGGCAGGAGTGGGGGGCAAATACCTTCACTTTGATTTTTGGAAAGCGGACCAAACTCTTTAAAGAGATCTCCGCGGAGTTCCCGAGGAGGATATGATGTTTCGTAGTAGGAAATATTGATGGCACGGACGATGCTGCAGCTCCCGTCCAAAAACCGAGTTTCTTAGAGTACATACCTTTTTTCAATTATAAATTTCTTTTAAGCTTCCGCTTGGATCTCGATACTTCTCTGGTCAAAGGCCGAGCTCGTTAGTTTGATCGGATCAAGGCCCGGTTCGATGGAATAAAACGAATGAAACCAGAACTTTCTGAAAATGGCAAACCAGAAATCCTCCATCGTCCGGCGCAGATCTCGCCTCCCCATCTCCGGCGAGACACCGGTGAGGTCGGGAAGAAGAAATACGCCGCCACCACCCCACCTCTTCCTTCCCCGACTCCCTGCTTCTCCTTCCCCTCGCTTTCGTGCGGTTCTAATCGTGCCATCGTGACCTCGTCTGTGCGCGCGCAGGATCGCCGAACGAGGAGAAGCCGAGCGAGCTCTGCCACGTCACCGCCGCCGCCGACTCCTCCTCTGCTCCGCCACCCCTTTGCCTCGCCACCATCCGTCATCGACCCACCGGTGAGCCCCCGACACTTCCTTCCTTGGTTTTGCCTTACGAGTGTATAGCTCCAAAAATCATGAAATTAATTTTACATGCTATTTAGGTCATGATTAACCTCTGGTAAAATTTTGAAGTCATTTGGAGCAAGTTGATTTTTGGGTAATTATTTAAAATTGTTAAATAGTGCCTTTTGTTAATTAAATGTCTGATTTTTGTTAAGCACCTTAATGACCTCCAAAATTCTGAAATTTGTTTTACCATATACTTATGTCATAATGAACCTATGTAATTAATTTGGGAATTTTTTGAGCAACTTCATAAAATGACCTTTTAAATAATTAAGAAAAATAGAAAATCAATTAGGGTTTCATGTTAATGAACCTATGACGCCCACGTGATCGCCCCCACCAAGGCAGCAGCGCGCGCACGCCCACGGCCCCGAGAGAGAGGCGCGACGGGCACATAACCCCGATCCTAGGGTTCGAGCCGAGCGCCTCCTCATTCCTATGGTTCCCCATTCCTAGGGTTCGAGTGATGTCGGTGGGCGAGATCCTTCCAGCGTGGGCGCACCTGTGTCCCGACCTGCGAGGGGGTCAGTCCGTGTCCGACCAGGAGGCGCCGTCGCACCTGTGGCGCGCACTCGTCGCCGGAGGACCCTTCCAAATTGTGGGCGCACCTGCGTGCCAGCGCCACCGAGAGACCCTCCCACCCATGGGGCGCACTGAGCCAGCGCCGGGAGCCCCCTTCGAGATGCGGCGACGACGACGGGGATGACCGGTCGCCGGGGGGGGCCCTCGCAGCTGCAAGCGCTCTCGCCGACCGGTCGCATGAGCACCCCGCGAGCGCCGCCGGAGTCCTCCCACCATGGCGCTCTCTGAACAGAGTGGAGCCGCGGCGCCCCCCTATACGGAGCAAGCATCCATTGGACTACGACGATGACGAGCAGTGCAAATGCGATCCCCCAAGGAAGGCCGGACTCTACGTATCGTGGAAGCGTTTCCCAGGGAGGAGGTTCTACGGTTGCTTCTCGGTAAGTTTTTGTCACCGTCCTAGACTAGAAATCATGTGCGGCTTTGCCGCTGCCCTCACTCAAAGCTAGTGCACGGCGTCGTACCACAATCATCGAAAGTGTGTGTATACCGCATGGTATACATATGTGCAACCGCTAGTCGCATTCCTTGTAATAGAAATGAACATAGTAGTACTCTATACATTTGAAAAGGGTACGATGGAGTGCCATGATGTTTAGAACATTTAACTGATGAAATTAAGGATAATAGGAAGCATCAGTATGCACTTTTATACGCAGTGCATGTTGCACATGCATATTAACTAGTTTTATAAAAAAACTATAGATTTTTAAATTAAATTATGATTACATAAAAATAATAAAATATATAAAAATAAAATTATAGTTTTTTTAGGGGGAAGCAAAAAAACTGCTGGACGCCGCTTGATCATCGGGCTATAGGCCCGTGGTCTAGGGAGGCGGGCGAGGCGAGTAAAATCTCTCCCTTCCCAACCACCCGTGACCTCCCAGGCCTCTCATTTCCTCTCCTTTTCCTCTGTCTGCTACACGCAAAGCGTGCAGGTAGCTCTGCGCTCCCCTCTCCCCGTAGTCCGGCGAGGCCCTCTGCTCAGCCATGCTGCTGATTCCAATGCAGGTCAAATCGATACTCTCTCCTACCCTCTGGCCACCGGATTAATTTCAATGGGGAGGGAAATGCCCATTGAACGGCGACGCAGCGTGCCGGCTTGACTTCTTCTTCTGCCGCCATTGCTTCGTGCTCTGGACAGTATGTTTTCTTCGCGGATCTGCTCTGGGACGATGATTTTGTTGCCTTCACCGGGCGTAGATTTGCATTGCATTGGGTCGGGTGTACGTCCCCCGCCGCGTTCTTGTCGCCGGTGGTGTGTCGTGTTTGCTTGAGGTCGGCGTGCGGGGACGGGTGGCGAACCAGTCCCCGACGAGGAGGGTGAAGTCGCCCGCCGGCGGCGGGTAGGGCACGGGGATGGCGGGGCGCTGGTAGACGTTGAGCGCGCCGAACCCCCCCGCGGCGCGGTGGAGCACGGTGGAAGTAGAAGAAGGAGCCGATCTGATCCTTGGTTTGGAAGTGGTAGGTGTAGTTTTACGCAGTCCATCTGATTCTTGAGCCCGTTGATCAGGATGCCCTGCGGATGGAGATGGAGGCAGAGTGAGTGCATGAAAAAATGGTACATGAAAAAAAAAATCAAGAATCTTTTCACCTTGATAAGGACAGAAAGATCATAGTTAATGGAAGCTATCTGAGAGAGATTCTGCACATCACAGAAAAAAATTAGGAAAGGCTAGGATCAGTTTATAATACAACTATACATGACACTGACATCTTGTGTTCTTTCAATAAAACTCCATATGGGCAACACCTCCGTCCCTCCAAAAAATCATATAACAATGCTGATTTTGCTACCTCAATCTGAATTTGTTGCATCCTCAATTTTACAAACCATTGTATAAGCCATAAAATATGTGGATCCAAATCACTTTGTTGGATGGTTCTTTTTCCATCATAGTTCTGAATTTGTTGTGAGTCAAAACAATGTTAATTGTAGACATAAAAATATCGAATAGCTATCTTTTCATGCTCCTTTCGCTTAAGTTTCAGTGTTCATTTCAGTTAAGTACTAAGTTTCAATGCTTGTTTCAGCTAAGTTTCAAAGGTGCTCATTTCAGCTTAAGTACTAAGTTTCAATGCTCGTTTCAGCTAAGTTTCAAAGGTGCTCATTTCAGCTAAGTTTACGAGTGTGCTCGCTTCAGTTCTTGGTTTGTTCCCTTTAGATTGATAACGAGTCCTCTTGCTCGTCTCCGGCCGACGGACGCCTGAGATCTCCGGCCGACGATACGCCAAGCACATCTCCGGACGAGGAATCGCCCTGTTCTCACTCTTCAACCTGTCGCAGATCTTCTTCCATCCTGTGTCGCTTGGGTACGTCTCGGTCTTCACCCGGTTGTATCATGTGCTAAGAATTGGCAATATCAACGTTGATTTGCTTCTGAAATTTTAAAACACTGATGACCTCACTTATAATGGTGATAGTCTTACTACTTGATGTTGTGCACTAGTAGTCTGGTAGCACCACTTATTGTTGTATCATGTGCTAAGAATTGGCAATATCAACGTTGATTTGCTTCTGAAATTTTAAAACACTGATGACCTCACTTATAATGGTGACAGATTCTGGACAGCAGCCCCATCCCAGGAACATGGATGATTCTAAGGATGCCGAACTCCTTAGGATTCTTGGATATGCGAGGATGCATCAAAAACAAATAAACTCTAGATGGTATCAAGAAGATGCGGTGCTGGAACGTATATTGAAGACTTCGGCTATAAATTCGATGTTCCCAGGCATTGATCTGGCAATGCTAAAACAACGGATTCAGGAATTTGAGAAGATGGTCATAGATTACTATGTAAGTAAGCAGTGAAATCCATATCATAGTCCGAAACTTATTTTAATCCTAGGGCCCTTCCCTACTGACCTTTTTTTTCAGGAGGGTAAACTAACAACTATGCCCAATCAGGATCTTATGCTTTATGTGTTCAAAGAATATCATGCATGACTATGAGCGATCCCCGAGACTCCACTAAATTCTGGGAAAAGAGCTACCCTTGTTTCGGAAGAACTGGAAGCACCTTCCACTAAAAGAGCACGTTCAGAGAGTGTTGATATGGTTATGTATCTGAGCCATCCAGACGCCGCATCAAAGCTTTTAAGCAGTGGCTTTAGTATGGAAGATTGTACTTCAAGAGCTCAAATGATTATTTAAAGATGACCATCACATGCTATATTCTCGCTCTCACTCTTTTGAGGCAAAATATAGAAATTAAATCGATCATTCATGACTTTAGAAGAAAGTTATGCACGTGGTTATATTGAGTATGAGCTGAAGGATTCTGGTATGCTGTGAACTGGTGAAACATTGCTGGTCCTGTGGTTCTAGTGAAACATTGCTGGTCCTATGTCTGTTGATGAAACATTGTTGGTCCTGTCTCATCTTTGTAGGCACCTGTAGTGTTGGAGTATCACCTGCAGTGTTGGAGGGTCATCTTTGTAGGCACCTGCAGTGTTGGAGGGCAATGGAGAACTGTCAGTGTGTGAACCTTTTTTAATCTTTTTAAGGACTTGATGAATTGAAGGGCTTATGAGTTGTTGTTTGAAGCCTAATGAACTTGTAGTACTTTGTAGTGTCTAATGAACTTGTACTGTGGATTGTCGTTTCTATGCACGGTGGATTGTCGTTTTCCATGTTGGAACCTTGTTTGTTTTTTGGCAAGATGCTGGTTAATCTTTTTTGGGTGTTGTTAGTTATCAGTTTGTTTCATGATAAAACACATCCACGATGATAAAACGGCCATTATGTGTTAGCATAAATTGTCTATGAAAGGACAGTGAGCCCGGTTAAGGACAGTGAATCCGGTTAAGGTCAAACATACAAGCCAGGCAACTGCATGCTGTTTATGTTAAGAAAACGCTGTCCATCAAACACACCAAGAAGAAAACAAATAACACACCCCACACAGAAACTCACAACAACACACCTAATAATGACCTACACCATCACTTAAGAGGTGCATGGAGAGAGAACAAAGTCACTCACTCACTCACTCACTCACACATACGTGTGCTAAAAATCTCCGCCATCCACCATGGTGAGCTTCATCTCAAACCTTGCTTAGGACCAAGGTTCAACTTGAGGCAACACCTAAAAACAATGGATTATGATGCCTCCACACCCCAATCGACATCCCAGATAACAAGTGACTTAAAGCCCTTTCGGCCAGCTTTGTCAACATGTCAATAAGCATTCAGAACTCCGCTTTGCCTCAGCCACGAATCCGCGCCCGCTGCTTTCTCCGCTTTGCCTCGCGCGCTTCTTTTTGCTTGCTTGCTTGCAAAAGGCGTCGATTTACTAGGGAGCACTAGTTCAGCATCCGATGGCACCAAGAAAGACGGTCGGCAGCCGGGAGGCTCATGGCGCGCGATGGCGCTTAGCTCGCTCATCGCCTCCTCCCATTGCTCAGTCGTCTGCTCCAAAGATCGCCGACCCCGGCGGTGGGAAAAACCGTCATCACCCGCCGACAGGTGCTCATTCTCCTCCTTTTTTCGCATCTTGGAGGTAGGGGCTCTCTTCCCTTCCTCTCCCATCTTCATGCTTCTTCCACGCATTTAGCTATATGGTTTTAGTTGACATTGTAAAGTCTTTCAAAGTTTCAACTTTGTAGGATACATTAATCTCGATATATATATAGTATACATTAATCTCGACATAAATGGGAGAAGAGAAAGAAAGAAATGCAATTGCCTTCCGATGATATTTGACTCAAACCAAGTAGAAAGCATCGTCTACTACCTCAAAATAACATCGTTTTCTTTAAACTACATGACCTGAAAGCGGCAAGATCTCACAATTAGAGTGCCGGGAATGTAGATAGGTTCTGCTTTCAATGATCATAGGCTGAACATTTGGCCCTTTTTTAGTAGGTAGATATCACTATCTACGTGCTGAGTTTACACAAAGGATTAGTAATTCAGGTCACTCCCTACAAATACAAACAAAACTAGCATAGAACACTCTAATTACTAAGTGATTTGACCTTTTCTTTTGATTTACTAATTGCACCTCACCGAGAGTGCCATGAAAAAAAAAGTTTTTGCTGCTGCTATATTGGTGTCCAAATGGAGCCTAGAGGATGGGAGAGTTCTCTGAATTATGTTTCTTGGAAGAGTTCTGGAATGCATTTTCTAGAAAATAGCACAGTTATATATAGGACATTTCCCATATATGTATAGCTAATAATTGAGCACAATTTCATATATATCCAACAATGTGAGCATAAATTTAAATTGTTTAACATAAAAGATACTTTGTAGCTATCTGGCTCTTTCTTTGTCAGGCGGTCACATGCACCACGGCCCACGGCCGGTTGGCCACACGTCGCCCAAAGATCATCATCAAGGTCTTTGTCGGTTACTCTACGAATCCCCTCTCTCTGCTGCTGCTGCCTGCCGCCGCCCGCCGTCCACAAATACCCATGCGCCCGCCACCACTGCCCCATCGCTCTAGCTCTAGCCTCTAGGGTTTTGTTCGGCGAAAGGGAGAAAACACGGCACGCAGAAATGAAATCAACTCGAGGTGCTCCGTGACGTGTGTGCGATAGCGATAGCAGAGCAAATGGTGTCCTTCCCTCCTTGGGTCTTATCTAGAGAAAATAGGCCATGGGACAGTGTGCACCTTGGATGGGAAAGGAAAACGAATCAAAATTAGGCTGAATTGTCTCGCATGCAGAAAAGCAATTCACTTTTTTTTTTTTTTTTTCGATATCTTGATTTGTATATAGATTATATGAATGAAATTTGTTGCCAAAAAATTTGGGTATTCAACTGAATACCCTTGAATATAACTAGGCCCGTCCATGCCACATAGGGGAATATCTATGTCTGTCTTTGAGAAGCCATTTCTCCGAGCCATGCTTGATCATTTTTGCTAGAGAGTCGCAGCTAGATCATTCCACATAGGGGAATATCTATGTTTGTCTTTGAGAAGCCATTTCTCCGAGCCATGCTGATCATTCCACCGGTTTAACATTTATCCTTTGGATGTTCTTAGTGATCATATACTGTATTTACCCATACATGATGTATATTGCACCTAAACTTGTAAAAAAAAACTGCGGGAAAACAATGGTAGCTCCAAAAATAAAGATTTTTGTTGGTCTTTTTTTTCCCTTTCCGAGATTATGCGGGCACGGATGGGGGACAGGCTGCAAGAAAAGCAGGACCGGCACAGTGGGACGAACCAAGAGACAAATCATTTTCTTGAAGTGGCTATGGATTTAGCGGAAAACGGAGAATTTAAAAAAGCAAAGTACCGCAGAAAGTGGTTTTAGGAAGATCCATGCAAAATGGTGAGAAAGGCTCTCGCAATGTCTCTTATGCGAATGTGAAATCCAAATTCTACACATATATGGACATTTGGAACAGATATATAACAACTTGAAGTGCGAGGCAGATCATGTTTTAACCCGAGAGACGGGTACTTTCGATGCTCCCAAGGAATGGTGGGCTAGTCTGGTACTCTTCTCCCTTTCTACTTGATGTCTATATCCTTTTGGCTTCAAACAAAGATCTTGTATTCAGCTCGTGCACTATTTGTAATATTGAACTAATCATCGACTCATCATCACAAAGATCAAAATAAAAAGGAGAAATACATGATGTTCAGAAAATGTATTCCGTACATGGAGAAGCTAGATATTATATTTAGTCACATGGAGGATCCACCTAAAGAAATAATTTGGAAATTTGTAAACAATGGACCCAGCAGCCGATCAACTACAGGGCACTAGGGATATGAACAAACAGAGTCACCGACGGTACATCAGGGGTCAGCATCGCTCGGGGCCCAAATTGATAAGCTTTTGGACGAACTTTTGGAGTCGGGTGTGCAAGAACTCGATGATGATTATATCAACGCTGTTGACCTACTTAGGGACCCTATTATTTTAAAAAGGTACTCCAAGCTGTCATCCATGGAGAAAAAGATCGGCTTCATGAGGAAGCTACGGGCACAAGTAAGTTATTGCTGCTTGGTTGCTTCTTGTATTATCAATGGAGAGCTCAACAAATTGCTGCAATATTTCGAAGAAATTGATCTTCTTTCAGTCCTGCCTACTAGTGATTTTTACTCTGTTATTTGTTGAAATATTGGGCAGGGCGTGCAAGTGGCAAACAGGAGTCACGGTCACCAGTAATGATGTAGCAATTGTTGATCTCAAATCAAGAATCAGTGATTTGGAGACTCAAAGGAAGCTGCTGTCTTTTTTCTTTACTTTGGCACTAATTATTATGTACAATAAGTATTATCTTCCTGCTCTTCTGAATGGAGTTTGGCATGCAGCAGAGCAGACTTGACGCTGAGTTTGGCATGCAGCAGAGCAGACTTGGCGCCTTGAATGCTTTGAAGCCTTGAACTTTTTAATTTATATGCTTGAAACTGTCATCAAGTTATCTTGTTTTTTCATTATTCATGTATGTGTTTGATGTAAGAACATGCTACCTAGTTATCTGTGATGTGTTATGTAAGAACATGCTATCCAGATTTATCTCGTGTGGATGTCTTAATGGTGGACAGATATGAGGTCTTCTCTCCTAAAACTAGAATTCTAAAGACAAAAACAAGAATGGAATATTTTTTTCTTGTTGTACTTGCTAATTGATTCCTTTTCAAATATGTTTCTTACCTGTTGTGTCCACTAATTGATTCATCTTCTTAAAAACACGTGAGTCACCGACTCAACCTGTCTAGTATGAGACAGTGATATGTGCTGTTTTTAGAAACAAAGGCGTGGCTCACAATTATCTAGTGCTCTGTCTTCTTGGGCGTGTCTTTTGCACCCAAATTTTTTTACCGTAAGTGAGAAATTTTATAGAACCATGTATATTCCCCCCTCCCTCGTTTTTTTTTTTTGCAATTTTATAAATGTTACAATATTACTTTATGTATACTTTGGTAGTAAAGCTTTATAATTGGCACTCCACACCTATGTTTTTTGGCGTCGCCTAGGCGCGACGACTTACGGCGTCCGGCGGTTTCCCAACCTGGGCGTCGGGGTCACCTTGTATAGCCCGCGTATGGCGTCGCCTTGGCACGATTGGCGTCGCCTAGTCGTCGAATCTGCTCAGCGGATGCCATGAGGGGAAGTCGTCTGCTGCAGGGAGAAATTTATATGCGCGGGAAAAACGCGGGAAACATGCAAAGCCAAAGCTGCTGAAACAGAGCGCAGCACAGCGTGAGACCTCTTGCCAAAGTCCCATCTAGCTCACTCAGGCCACAGAGAAAGGAGGAGGAGGGGGAGGCGAGAGGGAGAGGAAGAACAGCGGCGCGCTCTCACTTGAAATCGGGCGACGGCGGCGGCGGGTCGGTCGGCGTGCTGCGACTGCACAACACAACCAGCGTCCACGACCATGACCTCCGCCCGTCCGTGTCCGTAAATCCGACACGACTCCCACCCCATCTGCGACGTCTCTGGGGACTTTTCCGCCACCTCCATCACCGGCTTGGGTCTGCAGTATGCCCTCCCGGCCTCCACTTCCTATGT